GAATATAAGCCAAATAAGCTAGATACCCCTTCTCGACCATACGCCGAGCCTTCATAAATGAAATAATCCTATTAGTGGAACGACCAAGAGTTCCTTTCCATTCTAATGGAGGTAACCCTGGCATGGCTAGGGTCACCGTCTTGGCATGACAATCCAATATAGCATGATAGGGTGATAGCCAATCCATACCCAAGATGACATCAAAATCTACCATATCAAGAAGTAGAAGATCCACACTAGTCTCAAGACTCCCAATAGTAACCACACACGAATGATAGACATGATCTACCATGATAGAATCTCCCACCGGAGTGGACAAACACAGGAGCACTCAGAGAATCACGAGGCATCACCAGATATGAAGCAAAATAATATGACACACAGGAATAAGTATATCCTGGATCAAATAGAACTGAAACATCTCTATGGAAAACTGGAACAATACCTGTAATCACAACATCGGATGATTCGGCCTCAGGCCTAGCTGGAAAAGAATAAAATTGGGGCTGGGCCCCGGCACTCTGAACTGCGTCCCTGGGATGACCTCTAACTGGCTAGCCTCCACCTCTAACAGCCTGACCTCCACCTCTAACAGTCTGACCTCCACCTCTAGCAGCCTGACCCCTACCTCTAGCTGGCGGAGCAGGCAGTGAAGTAACCGGTGTTGGAATTATAGCACGAGAGCCCTGCTGCTACATGCTGCTCTGAGATCTAAGGCAAAATCTAGCAATGTGCCTCGGATCACCACAAGTTTAACAGGACCTCGACTGCTGTGACTGCTGACCCTGAAATTTTCCTTGTCGACCTGAGTAACCACCCTGAAAACTCTGGATGGGAGGTGTACTGATAGGAGCTAGTGGTGCACTGTAGGATGCCTGGAGTGCTGAATGAAATGTCCTAGGAGGATGACCCCTACCAAAATTACCCCTGCCTCCAGACGAGGCACCACTGAACCTACCGAACTGATGGGGCCTCTTATCAGACCCCTGCCCTTTCTCCTGTGTAAGAACTACCTCGATTCTCCTAGCAACATTAGCAGTCGCCTGAAAAGAAATCTCACTTCCGGTCTCCTTGGCCATCTGAAGCCTAATAGGGTGAGTAAGCCCCTCAATAAACCTCATCACTCTCTCTCCCTCATTAGGAAGTAAAAGGAGAGCATGACTGGATAGATCCACAAAACGGGACTCATACCGAGTAACAGTCATACTGCCCTGCTGTAGACGCTCAAATTGCTTGCGGTAATCGTCTCTCAATGTGGTAGGTAGGAATTTCTCTAGAAATAGCCGTGAAAACTACTCCCAAGTCAGTGTAGGCGACCCAGCTGGTCTGGTCAACATAAAATCTCTCCACCACCTCTTGGCGGAACCTGTCATCTAAAATACAGCAAAATCGACCCCATTGGTCTCAACTATACCCATGTTCCGCAGTACCTCATGGCAGTGGTCAAGATAATATTGTGGGTCCTCAGAAGGTGTACCACTGAAGTGAACTGGAAAGAGCTTAGCACACTTATCCAGTCTTAATAAGGCCTCAGAAGACATGGCGGCGTATCATCGGTCTATGCCGCAATAACTGGCTGCACTACCCCCAACCGGTGGGGCTGCTGGAGCCATCTACTCCGGAGCGGGGGTAGTGGGAGTCTGTTCTCCTCCCCCAGCCTGTAAGACGGCTGGTACCACTAGAAATGTACCATTCTGGGTCACGCCCTCCATAAGACTCACCAAACGGACTAGAGCGTCTTGAAGCACTGGAGTAGTTATAAATCCTTCTGGGACCTGAACTGGTCCAACCGGTATAGTCTAAACGGGAACCTCCTCCTGAAGATCCACCCTAGGTTCTACAACAGGTGTTGCTGGTCGAGCTCTAGACTGAGCTCTACCTCTACCTCAGCCTCTAGCACGACCTCTACCCTTGGTCGTAGTTGCCACCGGGGGTTCTGGTCCCTGTCAATCGGTTGATGTATTACGTGCCATCACCATCTGCGAGAGAATGAGAATAGAATAGTTCAATTATCGATGATAGAATAAGATCGCACGATAGAATAAGAAAGAAGTGATATTGTTCCTAAACTTTATAGCCTCTGAAAGATAAGTACAAACGTGTCTGTACCGATCCTTTAGACTCTACTAAGCTTGCTCGTAACTCATGAGACCTATGTAAACTAGTGCTCTGGTACCAACTGTCACGACTCAAAATTTTCACCTTCAGGATCATGATAGCGCCTAACATTTCGACCCGCTCTCTGATTGTTGGAACCAAGATAGGTGCATGACAGGCTAACTCACTGAACCTGATAGCATATTATAAATAATCTTAACTATTTTTAAGTAAATTTAATTAAATAGAAGTCAAATTACTGAAGTAAAGTGCGGAAGATCATAAATACCGAATTATCAAAATACATCCCCGAATCTGGTGTCACAAGTGTACGAGCGACTAGGATAATACAAATAAAGGTCTGAATAAAATTCAAGTTTTTTGAAAGATAATACACAGCTGAGATAAAATAGAAAGGAACTTCAGAACTGCGAACACTGGGCAGTTATACCTCAAGTCACTTCTGAATAGCTGAATCCGAGTACATCTATGGTACGCTATTGGGACCAACTCCAAAATCTACACAAGAAGTGCAGAGTGTAGTATCAGTACAACCGACCCCATGTACTGGTAAGTGCCGAGCCTAACCTCGACGAAGTAGAGGCTATGACAAGACACGTGCATAATCAACCTATACAAGTATATACAAATACAAAGTAACAATAATACAATAAATAATAATTTATCAATTGGGAGGGAACATGCTAAGGGAAATGATGTAATAATTTCATCAGGAGAAGTGTTACTTAGCAGCTAATTAATTCATTAATAATAAAATGAGCAAATGATAATATGAAAGTGGCACGACACCACCCTTAGTGCTTTTACTCTCATTTGGCACGACATCACTCTTCGTGCTTTTACATTCTCTGAAAATGAAACGGCATCACTCTTCGTACTTTTACACTCACAAATGGCACGACAACGCCCTTCGTGCTTTTACACTCACAAATGGTACGGCAACACCCTTCGTGCTTTTACACTCTTTCTTACCAAGACAATGATATTATGAATAATTAAAATTGCACGGCATCACCTTTCGTGCTTTTACACTCTTCCTTACCATGAAAATAATAATATAAATTCGGAAGAGTTTTTAAATGCGGGGATATACACTTATCAATCAATTCAATACCAGAATACCGACTTCACCTTCCAAAATATTCAACAATAATTAAATGAATAATAATTTCACAACTAATGATCAAATAATCAATAATAAATTTAAAGAGGAATATCTTAATTAAATAGATAATTATTCACAATAAATAAATTCCACCCGCATGCTTTTACTCAACCACAATGCATAAGTACTCATCACCTCACATATACGTTGTACCCGCATATTAAATCGTGTAGAAAATAGACAAATAAGTCCTACTCCCTCAAATCAAGGTTAACCACAACACTTACCTCGCTTGCAACCAAATTCAAGAATCCAATAAACCTTTGATTCGCGAATTCGTGTTCGAAATCTTCAAATCTAGTCATAAATAATTCACTATACTCAATACAAATCGTAGAATTAATTCCATATGAATTTACTAATTTTTCGGATTAAAATTCAAAATTCATCTAAAAAATCATCAGTGGGGCCCACATATCGAATTTCGAAAAACTTACAAAATCCGAACACCCGTTCCGAGACGAGTCCAACCATACAAAAATTAAAAAATTTCGATGTCAAATAGACTTTCAAATCTTAATTTTTCGTTTCTGAAAAGTTTTACAAAAATTCTATTGTTTTCCATCTAAATCTGAAATAAATGATGAATATAGACATGGATTTATGAAATATAATCACTTTTGGTTATAGAACACTTACCTAATTCAAAGTCGTGAAAAATCTCCTTGGAATCGCCTAAGTCCGAGACTCAAAACTTAAAAATGAGTAAAAATGGCTAACTTCCGATTTTATGGGTTCTGTCCAGGCCTTTCCGCATCTGCGGACGCTTGACCGCATCTGTAGTTTCCGCTTTTGCGGAAATGGGGCCGCTTCTGCGGCAAAAGTTCTGCACATGCGCACACTGCCCAATCCCTTCCCTTTCGCTTTTGCGAGGCAAAACTTGCTTTTGCGAGCTCGCATCTACGGTCTAAAATTCGCAGGTGCGATTACACCAGAAGGCCAAAATTTTAGATTTTTCCTTAAGTCCAAATTTTGATCCGTTAACCATCCGGAATCCACCCGAGGCCCCCAGGACCTCAACCAAATATACGAACAAGTTCTAAAACATAATAGGACTTACTCGGGTGTCTCAAATCACATCAAACAACATCGAGATTATAATTCACACCTCGATTCGAACTTTTAAGTTTTCAAACTTTTCAATTTACAAATCTTGTGCCGAAACATGTTAAATGAATCCGGAATGACTTCAAATTTGACACACAAGTCATAAATGACATAACGGAGCTATTCAAATTTACAGAATCAGATTTCGGCCATGATATCAAAAAGTCAACTCTGTGGTCAAACTTAAAAATCTTTAGCCTTTAAATTTTTAGTTTCCATTAAATTGTCATAACTTGAGCTAGGGACCTCCAAATTACATTTCGGGCATACGCCCAAGTCCCAAATCACGATAGGACCTACCGGAACAATCAAAACACTGATCCAAATTCGTTTACTCAAAATATTGACCAAAGTCAACTCAGTTGAGTTTTAATGCTCTATTTCATATTTTGATCATTTTTTCATATAAAAACTTTTCGAAAAATTATACGGACCGCGCACGCAAGTCGATAAATGATAAATAGTACTTTTCGAGGTCTTAGAATACAGAATTAATTATTAAATTTAAACATAACCTTTTGGGTCATCACATAGCNCCACCCCCCTTTTCTTTTTTCCTTTCTATTTAACTCAATCCTATTTAACCTAATATATCCCCTCAAACCATATCAAGTACTCAACTTCACAAAAACACATTCCAAATACTCCATCAAAAAGCACTTGAAAGAAAAAAAAATTCTTTTGTCATAGGAAAATGGAAGGTCCAAAGACTTCTTCATCTATGAATAATTTTGAAGCTGCAACAAATCAAGAAGAGAGTGGATGGACGACTTATTTGGATGATTTTTCATTAATGAACCAAAGGGAAAATAGATCATCTAATTCTGAGGATGATAGTTTTGGCAACCCTTCTTTGCTATCTGATGCTGCTTCTCATGTTAAGAGATTGAATTTGAAGAAGCCAAGAAATAAGAAAATCTCTGATCCTGATTTGGAAGACACTGCTAGTTCACCTGTCAACAGTCCTAAGGTAATTATTTAATTTTATATTATGTTTTCGACATGTCTCCTTACTTGCAAAGACAAATTACAGTCTTTAGGTTCTTATCCTAAACCGATTATATTTTTGATATCATGAGTTCAAAATCTATTACTACTATTTATTACTATAATTTTAATGATATTTGACATATAATTCTATACTTCATATTGAAAAAACGCTGGGTTCATAAGAATTCAATACTTATAATCTCCATCCATTACTCTCACCTTGTTGGCATGGTTAGTTTTTAATGAGTCTAACACGTGAAAATATTTTTTCCTTGTCGGATATATTAATATTTGAACTTAGATCTTTGTGTAATATTCTGATATTATATTAATTGTGTGATCACTTCATCTAAAATATAGAGAAAATATTTTTATTTATTTAAGTATATTATGTGTTCAACCTCTACCATTCTGTTTTGTTCTGATAAGTGTTCTGTGGCCTCAACAGGTAAGCAGTTTTAAGCAGATGGACATCAATTACAGAAGAACAGAAAACAATAGCGGAAACTTTCTGGTAATTAATACTCCATATTTTATTACAATTTTTCTCTTTGCCTTTTGTTTTTACTTTTAAATTTTAACCACAACTAAAACAGTTAGTACAATTAATTTAGGGTGTTTAATAATTTTGTAGGGAAATGAAGGAAGCTCAAGACAAATAATCCAAGAAATGCAGAATGTAGAGAGAGGCCACAGCATATCTTTTGAAAATAATGGCTATACTGACCTGAAGAAGAAAGGACTTTGTCTTGTGCCTTTATCCATGTTTGTCAACTACAAGGGCTGATTCTCCCCCACCCCCACCCCACCCTGTCCATGTAAAAATTTGTACATTTTTTTTTCTCTAGTCCATGTAAAAATCTAACTCTTATTTTTAAAGGATATAGAAGATCATTATGAGATAATGAAGTGGTCTCATTACATCATTATCCTTGTAAGTTGTGATCCACCTACGGAAAGGAAAAAAGGTAACAAAAAGAAATTGAAGATTTATTTTTCTTAAACAATATTATTGAAGTAAATAATTATTTTTTCTTATTAAGGTTTAAATATTTGATGAGTTTAAGTTTTATTCATTACAACATAAAAAATATTTAGACAGTAAAGTCATTTATAAGGTAATTATATAAGTATATCGGCTAAACTATAGCCAAGGAACACTATACATAACCAAAAAAAGGAGGTTCTTGGTGCTAAACCATAGCCAAGGAACACTATACATACCAAAAAAGTTAATTTTGTTTCTTAAAAAAGAAGAGAAAGTTCTTTTAAGACACGCAGAAATTCTTTCAGAACCATATCCGAGCACATTTATATTCCAAGGTCCAAAGAATAATACTGCAAAGCAAAAAAAAAAAAAAAAAAAAAATCAAAAAGGAAAAAATAAGTAAAAATTAATTTGGTAAGCAAAACAACTGATTTTCCTTCAGGCTTTCGGCGGCAATTTTAATTCACGGATAGCCAAAAGTCATGAATTGTTAGTGTATGCAATTGTCAACGAAAGAGGTATTTTTCTGAGAATATTATTTTATTTCAAGGATCTTATATCAATTTTGAAAAGAATATGCTACTAGATGGAAATTGTTAATACTCCAGTCGCTCCAACTACCTTATTTGCCATTTTGCTGCAAAATATTTAGTAAAAGATTAAGGGGAGAAAAACTCAAAATTCCTTAATTTTGTCAATCGTTACATTTTTAATCTATTCATACGCTTTTTGTTTAACAAATCTATTTACCTTTTTATTATCGGAGCTCCAACGATAAAATGAGTGGACCACCTGTCCAAATTCTTTTTCCACAAAGTCCATATTTCCATTAACTTTTGAATATGGTCTAAATTATCCTCAGGTTCGAGCTCCATTAGAGGTTAATAGCGAAAATGAGTTTTTTTCCTAATAACATTAGACCAAAAGTTTAATGGAAGACGAAGTTGTAAGATTTCAAATAGTACAAGTACCCATTTTCCAAAAATTAAAAAGAAATATAGAAATAGAAAAGTTTAGCGTGACAGACTTAATAATAACTGGTTATGGATTTAATGTCATTTTCAAGTTTAAATAGAAACTGCTTATATAATTAATTTAAGACCCCTCCATGTGCATACACATTAAGCAGTTGAGTACAGGTGACTTATTGTGATATAACTCGCCGTTAATTCCTTAAAGGTTTACACTATTTGTCACATTCTGTTTGATTATTTCCTGAGTTCCCTACTTCTTCTTCTGTTTATATTGAATGTATGACTATGACGCTGACATATTAACAACAAATGGATTATAATAAGTGTACAATAATACTGCAACTACTCTAACCATAATGTCCAATATATTCCTGCACAATACCAAATTATAGACTAGCTACTGGATAACCTTTTTTTTAAAAAAAATAATATCAAATGCTGCTGGTTAAGTAGGCAATTGGCCAGGGTGCCAAGGTGTTTTACAACATCGATATGAGATTTGGCTATCATTGTGAGCACCTAATTTTTTACTATATTTGAATTTTTATCACCTTCTACTATGTAAATATTTTTAGAAATTTAATATATATTTTTTTAGCTTTGTTACATTTTTTTAATATAGGGTAAGAATTAAAAATAATTTAAAAGCTCAAATTATTACTATTAGTATTATTTTTATTTTTTATCTTTATTTTTAAAATAAAAACAATTAAAAAACGAAAAAATTAATTTTTTTTTTAATTTTCGGATGGGAATAAAATAATAGGAAAATTAAAAATATGGAATAAAAAAGTAAAAGTAAAAGTAGGTGGAAATTATTTTTTTAAAAAAAATAAATGAAAGTGAAAAATTTTAAAAATAAAAGTAAAAGAATGTGAAAATTTAAAAAATAAAAAGTAAAAGAAAGTTGGAATTAAAAAATAAAAGTAAAGGTAGCTGAATTTTATTTTAAAAAATGTAAAAGAAACTGAAAATTTAAAAAAGAAAAGTAAAATAAGTGAAAATAAAAAAAAGTAAAATAAGTGGAAAATAAAAAAGGTAAAGTAAAAAAAAAGTGGAAAATTAAAAAATAAAAGTAAATGAAAGTGGGGAATTATTTTTTTTAAAAAAGAAGAAAAATGGAAGTGGGAATTCTTTTTAATTAAAAAATAATAAAATAATTAAAAAACAAATCTGAAAATTTCTGATTTTTTTTCTATAAATAGAAGAGAAATGTGAGGAGAAGAGGGGGAAAGAGAAGAAAAAAAGGGAGAAGGGAATTGAGAGAATTTTGTTTTCTTCTTCTATGCTAAAGGACTTTCTACTCGTGTCATTCTTTCTTCGTCTCTTCTTTTCGAAAAATCTAGCTATTCATCAACCAAAACCCAACAAAAATACTTCATAACATCCATTTTAACACGCCAAAAAGTGAAGTCAATAGTCGAGGTCGAGGATTCCGTTGGAGCTCCGTTCACTAGCTTTGATGTTCTTCTTCGCTTATGCTTGTTCGACGTTCGTCTGAGTTACTGTACCTGTTCTTGGAAACTCATTTAATTGAAAATTTTGCATTAAAGGTTTATTCTTTCCTCTATTCTTTTAATCTTATTTCATGTGATTTTATTTATTTTTCTTTAAACTTAATAAATAATAATAGAAATTAGTCCTTAAATGCTATATACTTAATCATGTTTCTGAAAATATGGTATCCAAACTTGCTTTAAAGTTGGGAAGATTAGGACCCTAATAAGTTTGGGCTTCAATTGTTGGATTGTAGGGTATTGGTATATGACGGTTTATTTATTCAAATATCTAAAATCATATACTTCTTCTACAAGTAATTCCATAATTCATGACCTTACAATAATCTCAAATATATAGGAAGAATAATGAACACTGATAGAGTGCTTTAGGCACGACTTTAATTAGTTTATCGCGATTATGTATACGTTCGCGTGGCATAATTGTGATTTCCAAAAATAAAATCGAAGTATGTGTTAACTATGGCTAAAACAATCTTAATAATAAAATTCTATTAATTGTGTACACGTATGCGTGATAAGATTTTGGCATAATAAACAAAATGAATTCACACACGTGATTCGTTTCAAAGATAATTTTATATTTTAATAATTAAAAGCGGATAGATAAAACATGAAAACCAATAAATTACAGTTTATCCAAAATTAATTCAAGCCAAGTTGTAGTCAATAAAGCGACCGTACTGGAATCACGGGACTTGGGGAATGCCTTACACCTTCTCCCCGGTCAACAGAATTTCTTACCTAAACTTTATTTTCGCAGACCAATAATAAAAGAGTCAAATCTTCCTTTGAATAGGGATTCAAATAAAAGGTGACTTGGAACACCCAAAAAATCAATTCCAAGTGGCGGCTCTGTAAATAAAATAATCCCTACTCAAATTTATCACTTTAATTGAAAAAACTCTTTAACCCACAACAATCCATACACATATCTTTTGTGGGGTAAAAGGGGGTGTGACAATCATCAGGTGAAGATTAGGGATTCGAATGTCCCTAAAACAGTTTTCAGAACTCGTTATAAGCAGTGTTTTAAAAGGCATTTTCAGGGAGAGCCCTGGAGCGAGGCGCACCAAAAATGCGTCGAGGCGATGGTGGAGAGAGAAAGTCTCAAGTGGTGTATGTCCGGACATTGATGCGCGTTTTTGTAGTGAGGCGTAAGCCTAGAGACTTTTCAAATTAAACAAAATTTGCTGAATAAGTCCTTCATATAATACTCAAATTCTCAAAACTTGTAATTATTCAAAAGTTTTAAAAAGGAACTGAAATATTATATTTAAAAGTTAAGACACTTTTTATTTATAGAAGACCTAATTTATGATCTTTCCCAATTCTTTATCTTGTCCGCTAGTTTGTTACTATCTCCCAAAAAGCAATGAATAGTCATTTTTTTTTTTTGCAAATACAAAGAGAACTCCACTCTCCTTCATGACTGAAAGTTCAAAGTTCAAATTGCAGGTTAGTCATCCTTTTTATTCCTCTATGTAGAAAACTTTATTCTTTTCAACTCTAGTTACTNATATATATATATTTCATATATTTATAGTTTTCTTCAATTTTTATGCAATTTTTCCGATTTATAATTATTTTACTGTAATTATATTATTTTATGAAATATTTAAAAGTAAATACACATGTGGCTTACGCCTCGCTAAAGCATATGTAAAACATCCACGCCTTTTAAAATACTGGTTATAAGTTCTTGGTGATGTCATTTGGGTTGGCTAATGCTCCAGCAACTTTCAAGGATTTGATGAACCGAGTGTTCAAGCCTTGTTTGGATTCCTTTGAGATTGTGTTAATTGATTTTTTTTTTTTGAAAAAGAGTTTTTGAAATTGAGTTGAAATGTTTTATTTGGAAGATGAAGTTGTGTCAGGACATGAATTTTACTTTAAAAAAAAATATTTTTTTGTAAGTGGAGAAAATTCATTTTTTGGAAAAAACTTGAAAATGTGGTAAAAACCGTTTTTGCTTNATATATATATATTTATTTTTGGGAAAAAAGTAAAGATTTTGCATGGCCAAACGGGGCTAAAAGTCGTGAGGAGGGTTGAAAATGGTTCAGAAATTACTAAGAATAGCTTATGAGCATATTTGGATTGACTTAAAATAAGTGACTTTTAAGTTAAGTGCTTAAAAGCACTTTATAAGTGGCGGAACTTATTTTATAAATAAGCAGTTACGTGTTTGGATAAAAGTGATGAAACTGAAAAAACCCTGATGAAGTGTTTGGTAAAGAAGTGCTTGTAAGCACTTTTTCTTGTTAAAATGACTGAAATATCCTTAAAGTTGTTAACATTATAAAGAAGATGATTACTATAATATTATATTTTTCGTTCATCGTTTCAAACGGATGATTGTTACATTTTTGTCTTGTGTGTTTGCTATTTTATTCTGGGTTGGTAAATGAGAAGACAGATGAGCTATTGAGCCAAATATTTGTAAAAAGTTTCCTCTTTCTCATTCCAATAAATCGACCCTTTCTTTAAACTAATAAATCGACC